TGTAGGGTAGTGAAGACAAAAGAAAAAGACATTTCCAAAGTGTGTAGCCTCTAGGAAATGCTCTGCAATTAGTAACAGCAGCTATTTTTATTGTCTGGGGCATTAATTTCAGATCTATGATAATTTATAAAAAAAATCATACAGAACTGAAGAGTTTTGGAGGTGATTTAATTTGAACTCTCTACTTGATGCATTTAATTCCTATATAAATTGAGTTCCTCCTTCCTTTTCTGAATAGGTGAACTAATGATTATAACTACCTAACTTTCTAATGCATTTGGTTCAATAATCGGATTTTATAAAATTTTGTTAGGTTCGTAAAGTGGTGGAAATTCATTAAATCCTTAAGTTTATATATTTTTAAACTTTTATTTTATATTGGGAGGTTTATATATTTAAATTAAGTATTTACTTTTAACATAGGCTCCAACTTTTCAAAATTAAAACAGTTGACCTAATGAAGCACGTGCCTTAGAGAAGGAGCCATACTTCCTAGCAAAGTCTGATGCTGAACCACAAACAGGGCTATCTTTGAAACTGATGATAAGCCGCCAAGAAATCTTAATAATTTTCCTAAAACAAGGCACAATTTTACATGGATGGTATTATTTAACAAGGGTCTTTATTTCTAAAGAAATTACGACTTACAATTTATGACACATGCTCAAGTACTTATAAGGTCCTCAACCTGAAGCCATTACCTACAGACATGAATTTAGGTAAAGGACATCCACTTTCTAAAACACCTCCACCTGTGCATCCTCTTCAGCTTGTACATCCTCTTATTTTCTGATAAAATTCCTTCCTTGTTCCCGTTACTCCCAACCACTTTGAGGAGAATGAGATAGGGTGTCCCTACCCATCATGAGGCCCAGCTGAGACAGGCTGGGATCTGGGACCCTTCACCTGAGTGCCTGCACCTGTACAAACATCTCCTCAAGCAACAGAATACAAAGGAACTATAAGGGACTCAAAAATAACTTCATGCATGCACCGGTGGGGTCAATTGTGAACAATAAGCTAGAAAAAAGGCCACAAACCAACAGCCATTTCTGAGGTGCTGGGAGAAAAAGCAGGGGCCTGCACACTAAGGGGGTAGACGAATCACTGAAGCCCCCCTCCAGCCAAACCCACCCATCGGCCCCTAACCTTACCCCATCCAAGGGACCAGCTTGCCCCCTTCCCCTCCCACCCAGGGGCATAAGCAAGGGCATCTGGTTCTTGTTTTCACTCCTGAGAGTTACAGTCCAAGTCCCAGAAAAGGCTCTCCCGGAATTCTCATCTGGCCTCTTATCAATTTCCATTGATTAGAGTCCAGGGACCCAGGTGGGTAACACAATCGGGGAGGGAAGCCCATGACACTTCAGCTTGGCAGTGCTTGCTCCAATTTGGAACCCATTAACATGTCCTCTTACAGAAACGATGGCAAACTGCTTTAGCCACAAGACAGACTACAGCTTTTTTTTTTTTGAGAAACATCTGCCGCATAATGGAAGTGACTGCAAGGAGTCCCAGCTCAGCTGTCTCTCATATGAGTCAATCTACTGGTATCTTGATTTTCTCATCTGAAAAACGGGACTTCCCAAATCTGCCTGGGATAAGAAGTAAATGAGATAATGTATGTGAAAGTCCCTATAAAACTGTAAAGCCCCCACGTATGAAGTACCCATTTCAACAGAGAACTTGGATTTATTTATACCTTTTCTCCTCACAGGGAAATTCAACTGTCAGTATGTAATAGTATAAAAAACAAGATATTCTTTTGGCTTTAAAATATCTTTTTTCTTAGGATAAAATTTATGCATATATCAAAAAATGTTAAAAGTTGAAGACTAGGCAAATCACTTGATATGAAATTAGTATAATTTTAAATTTCTAGAAATATTTTTTTTGTTCCTACACTATCAATAAAAGCTCCAGGGAAGTCAACTTTGAAAAAATTCTTAGAACCCAAGGTCATGTCTCCTGCACCTTGAATCATTACTGTGGTTTACACTGGCACATGTCCTGACTCAAAAGAAAGGTAACAAGCCTCAGGAATAACAAGTCAAGTTTCAAGCAATAAAAGAAAATTTTACATCATATATTTACCCACATTTAGGCTGCTATGGACTCTGCTGAAGACATGAAAGAATGCGGCATTTCTTAAAATAATCAACATTACATCCTCTCATTACTAGGGAATCAATACTGATCATTTAAAATGTCTTCTCCAAACAACCATTTCACTGAAAGCTTTACATTTCTATAAAATAATGGGAATGCCTGCAAAAACTTGATTTCTTTGAACAGTCAGCTCTTCACACCTCTTCAACATTTTCACTAAATGAAAGGCCAGAGAACAGAGTGAATAGACCTTTGTTTTTCATACCACATCATTAAAGTATAACATGAGTAATTTTAAAGTTCTATATCAGTATGAGATCAATTCCTTATATCAGAAATGCAACCAGAGTCAACACCTAGGAAAAGAGGCTACTTTTCTTACTACTGAAAGAATTGCACAAAAACACACTTCATTCTGTCAAAACTACAACATTCAGGCAAAACTCATAAACCTTAAACATAAACTGCTTCTAATACAAAACAGAACTTTCACTTCCTGAGACTTCTAAACAGTTCCCTGGTCTTTTGCAATGAGGTTTTCTACTTCTGCAACAGACAGAAGCACATTTTGAGGTCGTGCAGGTTTGCCTGTTTTTGCGTTTTGGTTACATGTAAAATACCATTCACTGAGATACTCAATGCATTACAGTTTTTGAGTGCATGCCCTAAGTCAAGCACAACCTTTATGCTACAGATGTGCTGTTAATTTATTTCTTTCAACAACTCTGTGAGGTAATCAGAGATTAGGTAACTCACTCAAGTACACATAGCCAGTAAGTAAAGAGCCAAGACTCGATCACAGACTGACTCCTAAGTCCATGTTCTTAACCACTGCGTTACACTTCTCCATGAGAAAAAGGGAACCAAAAAGAAACAAATACATTCATTTTCTTTTTCAGTTTTAGGCTCTTATATCAAGTATCTAACTGTATTGTTCTGTGCTTCAGGAGTTATGGCTTATGTAAAGAAATTCATATAAGATATGTAAAAGATAACATAACCTTCAAGCAAAGGAACACAACTTTATAGACAAACTAATTTTATAATAGAGGTTAAAAGGAAAGTTGATTTAACCTCCTTGGTTCCTGGAGGGATTGTCACAACACCTGGTAGGGAGCAAATCAATTGTTTTCCGATTAAATCACCTATTACAAGACTACAAGAGAGTGCTTGCCACCTGAAGACATTTTTCAGTTGTGTAATGTGTTTTCTCTTCTGTGGAATGAAGCCAGACAACCAAACAATGGAAGTCCCAGTTTTCCTTCTTCAAGAAATCAGTTACTTCAGAATGTCTGGAATTTTCACCAATTAGAATACCTAGATGAGTCAGTAGCTGTCTTCTTTTGTCATAAAGTGCACACAGATCCAGTTAATTAGTGCCTAGCAGAGTGAAGTAAAGCTTGGCCCTGGAAGGCGTCTTTCCTTTTCTCATGTGGAATAAATAAGACACTTTTAAGGTCGGTTTCTTTGCCAAAAAACGATTTCTAAAGGTTACCTCAATATTTGTAAGGCGGCTTGTTTTTAACGTTGTAATCACTGTTATAAGACCTTTTTCCAAGCCCCTCAAATGAAGGCTGTTATTAACTGTCAGGCCCACTCCCCATTACAACATGGTGAGATTTTGCAACCTTGATAAATGTCTGCAACAGCTGCTAACACTTATCAAATGCTGTGCGCCAGGACCAGTGGTTTGAGCTGCGCAGCCCCTGCACCTTCTCTGCACCCCCATGAGGGAGGTACTGTCCCTATGCTGATTTTATGGGTGGGAAACGTGAGGCCAAGGAGACTAAGTCACCGTCCAAAGGCACATAGAGTGGGGGTCTGAGCTCGGGTCTGACCCCAAAGCCAGTGCTTCTGACAATTTCTTCAAACTGTTTTCAGAGAAAAAGTCAGTCCCCAAAACTCTCCTGTTCCCTGTGGGTCAGCAGTAAAAAAAAAAAAAAAAAAAAAAGAAGAAGAAAGAAAGAAAGAACAAAAATCCGCCTGCATGGAGATGCGGATTCAATCCCTGGTAGGGAAGATACCCTGCAGAAGGAAATGGCAATACCCCACTCCAGTTTTCTTGCCTGGGAAACCTCACGGACGGAGGAGCCTGGTGGGCTACAGTCCATGGGGTCGCAAAAGTCAGACATGACTTACGACTGAACAACAAAAGCTATCACTCTGTGACCCCTCTTCAACGTACAAGACGTAAAGTATCCAAACAGCCTTCACCTTCTGCGATTTTAAAAACAGACCAAATTCTAAGCTCTCCCTACCCCTACAAAACAACGACGGGATGCGGAAGAAAAGGCAAGGGCCGTATTACGGCGTAGAAAGAGTCAGACAAGGGCCCAGAGTCCACAAGTGAAACCGATGTGAACTTAAAAAGCACACGGACCTAAATATTTCAGAACGCAAACAGCACAAACCCAAGAATCCGCAACTGAAGTTTGCAGAAAGCGGCTGACGGAAACTGGCCCAGCGCTGGTGCGAAGGAAGCTGTCACGCTCGGGGTTCTGCGTTCCTCTATCACAGCCACAGAGCGAGAAGCAGGAACCCACAAGTTCGTAGGCAAAACCAAAGCTGACTTCACACCTGTGCTGACTTCAGACTCGCTGCCGCGGGGAAAGGTTCGCAGCGTGGTTCCCACGCCGCCTTGTTAAATTACCGCACAAGGGACCACAGAGGCTGAAACGCCCGCAGCAGAGAGAGGAAGGGGTCAAGGTTCTGGGGGGAGCCTTTCTCATGGCCGCTACCACGGCTCTGGGGGACGCCGCGCGTGGACTGGAGGCTGGGGGGCCCCGCCGCCCTAATCGCCGCCCGCACCCACGTCTGTACCCGGTCCCGGCGCGCTATCTGCGCCCGCGCCGGCCGGCCTCCCGCACTTATCTGCGCGCGCCCGCCGGCCTCACCTGCCCAACTCCCGGCCGGGGGTCAGGGTGTAGGCGTCCTGAAAGGGCTCGGTCCGCACGGCGGTGCGGATCTCCGTCAGCAGTCCGCGGGCCTGGGTCGGGGGCGGCGGCCGGCGCGGCGTGCTCAGACCCCGGCCAGCCAGACCTGAGCCGGAGGCGACGGCCGGGGAAGAGACGCCGCTGCCCGGCTTCTCGAGAGGAATCATGGCGCACGGGCGTGCTTTCCTTGCCTGCCGCCCGGCTCGCTCGGAGCTCCCGGCGGGTAACGGCCCCGCCTCCAGCTGCCTCGAGCCGGCGCGAGGATGCCAACCGCTCTGCCCGGAGCTGCGCACAGACTGCGGCTGGCAGCCTCCAGGCCGCCCGGCCCCGCCCCACGTCCGGCCCCCGCCTCTCCCCTGCCCCCCGCTGAGCTACCCCCGCTGAGCTACCCCCCTCCTGAGTGCCTCACGCGCGCCCTCTGCAGCTGAGTGGGAGAAGGTGCAGCCTGGCGGGCGGCCGCGCGGCTGGCCCAGGCAATCTGCAGGCGACCGACAGCACCACCCTTCTGGCTGGAGGACCCGCTGCGTCAGCCAGGTACGCACCTGCTGAACATCTGAATGTTGCAAATCTGAGTCCTGCATTAATGAAAATGCGTAGGAGCTATCAGCCGGAGCTTCACGATCCCTTCCCTTGGGCGGGTCAGGAGAGGTGATGCGACTCAGATCAGGGCTGCTCTACAGCACGTGGAAGTTGCCTGGGGCATCTGGGACCTTCCCACACTGAGAGGAGGACGTGAAGGCAAGAGATGGATAAATATTTTTAAGCCAGCATACCAGTCCTACAGCCTTCTCTGTATTTAACTTTCAAGGTGCTCTCATCCGGTCTTGTGGTTTTAATTACATCCGTATGCTCATGACTACAAATTTTTTATCTCCAGCTTCCAATCATTCTCTGAACTTCAAACTCATATATTGAAATATACACTTGGCATCAGCAGTTGGATGCTAAATTAGCATCTCAAATTTAACGAGCAGAAGTCATCTCCCGATCATCCTTCATAAATGCGCTCCGACCACGTTTCCGCACCTCAGTAAATGGATTTCCATCCTTCCAGTGGTTCAAGCCAAAAACCTTGGGGTCAACGCGGACTCCTCTTTTTCTCTCACACCCCTCATCCATTTTGTAAGTAAATCCTCTTGGCTTTACCTTCAAAACATATCCAGAATCTGATCACTCCTCTCCATTTCCACATGACCACAACTACCATTCTCTCTTGTCTGGATTATTGTGATAGCTCCCTAACTAGGCTATCTGCTACCATCCCTCTTCCTCCTCAATTCCACATCGTTTATTTTTGAGGCAACCAGAGTGATCTTTTAAAAAATCTAAATTAGATCATGTCATTACTCAGAGTTTTGCTTCTGGCAATGATGAGTTAGTCTATGTGTGAGCAATTCTCTCACTGAGAAAGTTGGGAAAAAAATTTAAATCAGGTAGTCCTCTACTTGAAACATCAGAGAGTTTCAAAAGCAGCAAGAACTTGAACCACTGAGATCCTGACAAGAAAGGCAGCCCAGAATGGCACCCCTTTCCCATGAAGCATTTGATAATTCCAAAGCAATGACTGAAAGGGTGAGAAAATAAGCAGGGCTTTAGGCATCTCATCAGGCTGGAGAGACAAAAAATTGGAGTTTAGGGATCTGCTAAGAAGAAGGAGCTGGTAGACACTCTAGACTTTCAGTTGGCACCCCAAAGTGCTACATCTTAGGAGTACTGCTAACGGGAAACAGACAAGCTCTCCTGAGGACAGAAGAACAGCCTCAAAACGCGATAGAAAATCCCCTCTGGAGGAAAACACCATCATCCAGGGTCAACATTAGGTGTACAATATTTCATATACAATGTTGGGCACTTAATTTAAAAGGGGGACACACAAAAAGAATTCTCTTAGAAACTAAGAGAAAAAGACAGAATAGAAAAAGTAATACACAGGAAGAAGATGCAGATAATGAATTTTAAAGACATTTTAAATAATTGTGTTTAATATCTTCAAGAAATTAAATGACAAGATAAAGAATTTCAGCACAGAAGTGAGAAACTGAAAGAATAAAATGGGCTTTTTAGAATTGGGAGAAAAACCCACAAACTAAAACTATGACTGAATAGATGGGTTTAATAACAGATTCTATGAAGCTTAGCAACTTCACTTTCATTTTTCACTTTCATGCATTGGAGAAGGAAATGGCAACCCACTCCAGTATTCTTGCCTGGAGAATCCCAGGGATGGGGGAGCCTGGTGGGCTGCTGTCTGTGGGGTCGCAAAGAGTCCGACACGACTGAAGTGACTTAGCAGTAGCAGTAGTATGAAGTTTAAGAAAGAGTTAGTGAACCTGATTAGGGATCTTAATAGATCAAAAAATATGCAAAATGAAACATGAAAGATAAGAGGAAATAATGTTCAGAAAAGAGACTAAAGCACATAAGGTAGTATGTGTTAAAATGTTCTAACATACATTTAACTGAAGTATCAGAGAGGGGAGAAAGAGACATGTGTACCCCAATGTTCATGGCAGCACTGTTTATAATAGCCAGGACATGGAAGCAACCTAGATGCCCAACAGCAGACGAATGGATGAGGAAGCTGTGGTACATATACACCATGGAATATTACTCAGCCATTAAAAAGAATTCATTTGAATCAGTTCTAATGAGATGGATGAAACTGGAGCCCATTATACAGAGTGAAGTAAGCTAGAAAGATAAAGACCATTACAGTATACTAACACATATATATGGAATTTAGAAAGATGGTAACAATAACCCTATATGCAAAACAGAAAAAGAGACTCAGATGTATAGAATAGACTTGTGGACTCTGGGAGAAGGCGAGGGTGGGATGTTTCAAGAGAACAGCATCGAAACATGTATATTATCTAGGGTGAAACAGATCACCAGCTCAGGTTGGGTGCATGAGACAAGTGCTCGGGCCTGGTGCACTGGGAAGATCCAGAGGGATTGGATGGAGAGGGAGGTGGGAGGGGGGACCGGGATGGGGAATACATGTAAATCCATGGCTAATTCATGTCAATGTATGACAAAAACTACTGCAATGATGTAAAGTAATTAGCCTCCAACTAATAAAAATAAATGGAAAAAAAAAAGCAAAAAAAAAAAAAAAAGAAAGGGGAGAGAAAAAAGAAGCAATATTTTAAAATATAGTGGCCAGGAATTCTTCAAACCTAATGAAAGACAACAACTCATAGAATCAAGATACTTTGTGAATATCAAGCAGGGTTTCAAGAAAAGAAAATCATACCTAAGCAGATCATAGTCAATTACTAAGAACTGAAGACAAAAATCTTGAGAAAAATAGAGAAAGGAGATATATATTATCTGCAAAAGAGCAACAGTAAGATCAAGGGCTTATTCTCAAACAATGGAAGATATCTGAAGCTATCTTCAGATATCTTCAAAATGCTAAAAGAAATTAGCTTCCAATCTAGATTTTATACTATCCAGTAAAGATGTTCTTCAAAACTGAAAGTAAAATACAGTCATTTTTATAACAAACACTAAGATCATCAGCTGACCTACATTAAAGGAAATTTGAAAAGGAGTTCTTTACATAGCTGGAAAAATGATCCCAGATAAAACTGTGAGGATGTCTGAAGGGAAGCAGAAGAATAAAGGGATTAATATGTGGCTAGATATAAATAAATAGGAACTGTATATAACAATAAAAATGATGTTTTCTGAACTTAAATATTTATAGATACAGAATTAACATATATTCAATAATAGCACAGAAGAAGAGAGTGAGTAAATAGCACAAAAAAGAGATGGAATGAAAATATACTGAAGTTCTAGCATGGAGTGGGAATTGATAAAAGTACCTGGCTTTAATAAATCAAGAATGCATATTACAATCTCTAGATTAGCAACGAAAATAATAGAAAAAGAATGAATAACAAATTAATGGCCGGGAGGAAATGGGATAATATAAAAACTCAAAAGAAGTAAGAACAGAAAGCAAAGGATCATAAAGTAAGAACAGACAATTAGAAAACACATAGTAAGATGATATGTTTAAGTAAACAGAAGTTGTTTGTTTTTTAAAAACAGCAGTTACTGCAAATTTGAATGGAATTTGATATATCCTAGATTAAAAGACAAAGGTTGTAGACAGGATTAAAAAATAATAGTTGTTTGTGCTTCAATAAGACACCTTAAATAAAAAGACACAGAAAGGTGGAAATTAAAAGGAAAGAAAGATTTATGCCATATAAATAGTACCTAATGGAAAATTGGTGTAGTTATGCATATATTAGACAAAGTAGATTTTTAAAGCAAGAGGCATTACTAGAGGTAAAGAGCAACATTTCTTAATGATGAAAGAATCAATCCATCAATAAGTTATAAAAATTCTAAATTTTTATGGTCTTAAAAATATAGCCTTGAAATATACAAAGCAAAATGACAGTACTAAAAGGAGAAATAAATATAATTGGAACCTGAGATTTTTAACACACTCCTCTATATGATAGGACAAGCATATAAAAAATAAAGAAACATTTTTAGCAGTTTGAACAACACAATGAACAAACAATGTAATCGATGTAAGTAAAACACTGCAGGCTATACATCCTTTTGGTGCAAGGAGAACATTTATTATGTACTGGATCATAAAGCACATTTCAACAATTTCGAAGGACTGAAGTTCTACAGAGTACTATGTTCTATGATCATAGTGGAATTAAGCAAGAGACCAAACGTTACTCATTGGTTTGGCATACAACTAAGACCACAACTGAAAGCTCTATAAAACCACAAATGCTTGGAAACCTCATTTATGGTGATAGAAATCAGAAGAGGGGTTGATTTCAGGGAGGAGGAGATTGAAAAGGAGCAAAACAAGACTTTCTGGGGTGATGAAATAGCCTATTTTTACTCTGGCTTGCATGGACATATGCATTATTTAAATTAAACTTCATTTTTTATAAAAACTTCTGTTTTACAGAAATTTTCAAACCGATGGAAAAACATGGGCTCAAAAATATCAAGCAAAATTAATTTAAGCAATGTATAAAAATATACATCATATCAGAGTAGATTTATCCCAGGACAATTCAGGGTGTTTCACTCCATGTTCAGATTAGTGGATGAAAGAAATTCCATCAACTTAATGAATACTGGAAAATATTTTATAATATTCAATACCCATTCATGG